GGAAGATAATTCCTGGCAGGCTAATGATTTCCCACCTCAAATGTCTTCATCCCTCTGGTTTTCTTCAGCATTACAGGAATTTGTTCCACCCCGTGAGGAGCAATCTGGACTAGGCCCTGGAGGCAGCCCTATCAGTGATGGACAGTGTCCACAGATACGTAGCCTAGGTAGCCAGATAAGTACTCCAGAGAGAAAATTGTAGGGTATGTTCCACACGGTTTCCTCGAGGCTCCCTAGCAGGTTTAAGCCCCAGTTGCACACAGTGGAACTTGTTCACTGACACCTTTATTGACCTTCTCCTTTCTTACATTCTCTACTTTCCTGCTGTGCCTCCAGGGACTACCTCCCAGGTAATCCACCTGCACACAAGTCCTTGTCTCAAGTTGTTTGGGGAGTGGGGGTGGTGGGGGTGACTAAGACAGTTTCCAGAAATGGCAGAAGCAGGATGGGCTTCTGAAAACAGAAGTCACCAGTGAAGTGACAACGTGGATCCAAATGCTGGTGGTGAGTAAGGTGGTGATAACCCTTGGCAGACTACAGCATCACAATGTCCACAATGTGTGTAGTGGGTTGGGAAGAGGCACAGGTAAAATTTCAGGAGCAACATTGACTTATGCCATAAGTCTAACACTTGAAAGATACAGGGCAATAGTAATGATAAGGATTGTGGGGTTGGTTGGCTTTTGTTATTTGCCCTAGAAGCCTTGAAGAAAGACAACTCAGGGTATGTTGTGAAGACAGGAGAACTCCATAACAGCATTCTAAATGACCCTTATTTCTCATGGCCCAAGAGTAGGCTGTGCTGAAAATCAGGCCCAGGATCTGATTGTAAAAGGGGTGAAGTTTCAAGAGAGACTAAAAGCACAGCCTCAGCAGACCTACTACCCCAGGCTCAGAATTCTGATAGGGAAAGAATGGGGCACTAGGACTTGAATGGAGATATTTGGATAGATGCACTTGAGAAGCTTGTACCCTCAGCTTCCTTGAGCCTTCTAGGCCTGTAGAAGGACCCCTTCCTTTACTAGAGAACAATCTCCCATAACCTAAAGACCACGCTAAGGACTCACCTGAGGTGGATGTCTCACAAGGTGATGCTTATCTTCCTCAAGATCCTTCCCTCCTGCCTTCACTGCCTCTAGACCAGGATCAAAAAACATTTTCTTAAAGGGCAAGAGAGTAAATATTTTAGACTTGCAGGCCATGTGGTCTCTGTTGCAACTATTCGATTCTACTTTTGCTCTTAAAACGACAGTGCAAAAACAACCATGGACAATAGGTAAACAAATAGGTGTGTGTGCATTCCAATAAAACTTTATATACAAAAACAGGCAGCTGGTGCATGAACTATGGTTTGCCTACCCCTATTCTAGACCAGTAATTAGGGTCAGGTCTTACCATTGCCCAAGCAGGAAAGTATATAGTCCCCATTGCTGGAGGAAATAGCTTATTCACAATAAAAACTACAGGTCTGGTTGATATATATTAGTAGGAACAGGAAAACACATATAGGAGGAGATCTTGAGGATGTAGGACTGGGGCCGGGGGGAGCTGAGGAATACAAAGCTAGATAAACAGGGTTTTATGGAGTGACCCTTCTTTTGACTCGGAATTTAACATCCTGGCGAGACCTCTGGAGCTGGTCTTAACACGCTACTGAATTGATCCTTAAGGTTTAGACACAATGATGGCTGACAGTCAGTGAGGCAGCAATGCTGAAACAGCCTTGGAAGAGTACTAATGAGGGATTAGAAGGCTCAGAGAGGAGGGCCCAAAAGGCCTTCCTTTTGCAAAGCAATAAAGAAGTGCCTAGTGAAAGGAGCTCAGTGCTGGTTGTCCTCCATAGCCCAGGTTCACGGAGGAGATACTCCCACGGAATGCCATGGCCACTGTCAATGGAGACATTAAGGTTCTGGAAGAGCAGAGACCACATAGGGCCACTTAATCATCAGAGGCAAGGTGGACACAATTACAATGACAGGCAGCAAGGCCTGAATGGTGACCAGGGTTCCTTGATCTGCAGAGCTCTGCAGCAGTGGAGTCCCTAGGGCAAGAGAGCTGAGCATTTAATGAGAGTCTTGCCTGACTTAACCACAAAAATCAAGGGTGAGTGATCAGAGGCTGATGTCACCTGCCGAGATAGAAAATTGCAATATCTTACCTAGTTTCCAGCATTGAGCCAGTTCTGACCCAGGACACACTGATGGAAGAGAAAGATCCATAATCCCACTATAAATATATAAAATAAATGTTTCCTTGATTCTTCCCGAAAGTGCCCTCTGGCTATTTACCAGAATAGCTGTACAGTGTGGAACAGGGAATAACCAGATCATTTGAGGTCTGTTAGATAAAAGGTCTGAGCTTTCATTGCTTCCAGGTGATCCAAAATGCCATTATAGCCTCCTTTTAGAGAGGGGGGCCATAGAAGGCCAGATGATAAATAGAGTTCTAGGCAAGCTCATCTCCCAATGAGTCGGTGGACCTACTCTATGGTTATTTCCTAGCCCTTGAGTGCAAATCGGGATGCATAACTTCACAGATGGCAGAACTCTCACATTCTGCCACATTCTCACATTCTCTGTCATCTGTGGAATAAGAGCCATTATGGAAAGAAAGACTTAGTAGAAGTCTCTAAAATTATCCCGCTGGTCAAGGTCGTAAATCAGAAGTAATAGCATATCCCAGGTGGGTAGAAATTAGTGATACCCTCAGAGACTTAAAGGATACTGAGGTGGTCCCTATATTATCTCCATTGGTTCCACCCCATACTGCCCCTATAAAAACCAACTGAAGCATGGTGATTGGTGATTATCCACGTGGCAGCCCTAATCACAGCCATGATCAGATACAGTATCCTTACTATAATGGTCTACACAGCCTCTGATGGTAAGACGCCAATACTACGACAAGTGTGTTCTTTTCAATCCATGCCAGGAAAGGGGATCAAAAGGGGTTCACATCCACTTTCCCTACAACAATTTAGAGATCTATCAAATTTGTAAAGTTTTAAGTGGTCAAATAAACTGGGGCATTGCTGGGTCATTCCCTCTGTGGTAAAGGACAACTTAGTGTATCTTGCACTTCTTACCACTTTGTTTCTTTTTGTTGTTGTTGTTGTTATACTTTAAGTTCTAGGGTACATGTGCACAACGTGCAGGTTTGACACATAGGTATACACGTGCCATGTTGGTTTGCTGCATCCATCAACTCGTCATTTACATCAGGTGTTTCTCCTAATGCTATCCCTCCCCCAGCCCCTCACCCCCTCTTACCACTTTTTAATTTGGATTTCAGAGGCAGTGTACTAAAGACCACTCCAGCCCATTTATTGGATGATCTGGTAAGCTGCCATGTTTAAGCGGTGGCCGGAGCGAGAGAGGGTTCTGGAACAGGTGCAGGCTATGGGACAAGCACTTGGGTCACACGCCCCAGCGTATGCCCTGGTCCTGGACTTTTATCTGTGGAGAAGCAGACAGTGTGAAGTCCCTGGAAGTCCCCTCGGGCGGGGAGAGTCTCATTTCAGAACTCTATGATTCTAGCAGAAAGCTCTGCCCTGTGCAGCAGAGAATTATTCCACATTTGAAAAGTAGTTCTGGGCCAAATTGCAGTATTGGGAGCAAATAAATGAGTATTGTTTTAAGCCACTCAGTCTTGGGGTGGTTAATTATTAATAGATAACCAGAAGATGCATGTAACAGTACCTTGTTCTTTCGAATGTTGGACAACTTTCCACTATATAAATATACCACAATTTGCATATCTATTCTGTTAGAGACATTTCAGTTATTTCTAGCTTGGGTCTGTTAAGAATAATGCTGCTGGAAACATTCTTTTTGTTTTTTCTTTTTTTTTTCCTTTTTGAGAGAGACAGACAAGGTCTCACTCTGTTGCCCAGACTGGAGTGCTGTGCTGCAGTCAGGGCTCACCGCAGCCTCGACTTCCCAAGCTCCTCAAGTGATCCTCCCACCTCAGCCTCCCAAGTAGTTGGGATTACAGGCACCCTCCGCCACGCCTGGCTAATTTTTTTTTTTTTTTGTAGAGATAGAGTCTCACTATGTTGCCCAAACTGGTCTCAAACTCCTGGGCTCAAGTCCTCCTCATGCCTCAGCCTCCCAAAGTGCTGGGATTATAGGTGTGAGTCACTGTGTAGAACATTCTTACGTGTCTTTCAGTGGAAATATGAACTCATTTCTCTCGAGAACAGATCTAGGAATAGAATTACTGGGTCATGAGGTAGCCATGAAGGTAGGCATCTTTAGAAGATACTGTCAAACAGTTTGTATTTATTTATTTATTTATTTATTTGAGATGAATCTCACTTTGTCACCCTGGAAGAGGCTGGAGTACAGTGGTGTGATCTCAGCTGACTGCAACTTCTGCCTCCTGGGTTCAAGCGATCCTCCCACCTCAGCCTCCCAAGTAGCTGGGATTACAAGCGTGCACCACCATGCCCAGCTAATTTTTGTATTTTTAGTAGAGACAGGGATTTCACCATGTTGGCCAGGCTGGTCCCAAACTCTTGACCTCAAGTGATCTGCCTGCCTCAGCCTCCCAAAGTGCTGGGATTATAGGTGTGAGCCACTGCACCTGGCCCAAACAGTTTTTTAAATAAGAGCTCCAATTGCTCTACAACCTTGTCAACACTTGGCATTGTCAGTCTTTTTAATTTTAGTCATTCTGGTAAGTATATGGTGGTATCTTATTGTGGTATCTTAATTTGCATTTATCTGATGAGTAATGATGTTAAGCTGTAATATATTCTTTACAAAAAGATTACACAACAAACCAAAATGTTGACAGTGGTGATCTTTGCAGAGGTGTGACAGTAGTTTTTGTTTTGTTGTTGTTTGTTTTCTGCAGCATAGTCTTTCTGTTTGCTAAGTTTTCTGCATTCTCTAAATTTAAATGCTTAATTTTTAAAATTATTTTTTAAATTATGAAACCCTTCCCAAAAGCCCATTTATTTATTCTTATAATAAGGTATAATGACCACAATAGTAATATTACAAGTAAAGTCACTAAGAATCATTTATTGAGCACCTGCTGTATATTCAGCACTGTGGGGAGCTGTGAAAGACACAGAACAGTACAGGGTGTGGTCCCTGCCCTTGAGAGGTTTACAGTCTAGGTGGAGAGACAGGGGAACCAGGACACATGGGGAATTGAGAGAAAACAGTCCAGGCCAGTATGTTACAGGAGCTGGAAGGTGTTTGGGGTCAGACCCCAACACCCCAAGTGCACTAAGCACTTCAGTGCCTCCAGGGACTCAACGTTAGTGCCAGGAAAGACAACCACTCCCAGCCCCATAGGAGCCCACGTGACATGCCCTGTCTACAGCCTCTACTGCCACCATCTTAAAATGTCTGACTCCTTGTTCAGCTGCTAATCAAAGTGCAATGAACTGGGGAGGGATGGGGTGGATGAGGAAGGTCGCTGGATGATTTGAGGGGCCAGTGTCTCCCTCCTAGAACGATCTACTCCCATGGGGTGTATGATGGCATACACCCCTAACACAGAGATAACCCCACTCAAGGGGGCCTGTGCCACCACACAGGACCCTCATCCCAGAGCTAAAAGAGGAGGGGGAGTCGCTGCTTGAGCTGCCTGAGGTAGAACTAGGGCGCCCTTCTTGTGTGTCCCTTCCCCTTCCAGTCCATTGAGCTGGGGATGGGAGTGGGACGGGCACCTCAGAACCACCTGGAGCTGAGAGGGTACTGGAGGAAAAGGACAAGAGGGAGGGAGAGCAGCAGAGGGGAACTGCAGAGTCCAGCTGGAGAAGAAGGGTAGCTGGGGCTCCTCAAAAGTTACAGGGGGAGCCAAAGAGGGAAAAGGTCCAACACTGAGACGGGCTCCCAAGTGCAGGTCAGAGGGGCCATGAGGGCAGGCGAGGTGGTCTGCTCCAGGACCCCACCTTCCCCTTGCCTTCAAAAGACAGAGGGGGGTATCAAGAGCCAGGAGGGTACCAAGTCCCCAGCTCAGCCCTAGGCTGTGCTCACTTGAGGGTCACCCTGCCCAACCTTAGAGGAGGTGAGGGGACTCCAAAGTTTTTGATGATGCCCCCACTCAGTGAGGCCCCTTCAAAGTGCCATCTGTTTACTTCTCAAATTAAAAAGAATTCAGTTCTGAGTGTCCAGGAAAGGGGGTGAATTTCATAACCCCCTGTGACGAGAGGAGGGAGCCACACCCCTCCAGAGGGTACCACCCAGCGGACGAGTGGGGAGGAGGAAGTAGCTGGCATGAAGCCGGCCCACCCGACCTCCAGGAGACAGGAAACAGAGAACATGGGATGAGGAGGCTTTAAATAGTATTTCATAAAATAAAAATGCCCAGCACTCTTAGGAACCTCTCATTCAACTGCTTAGTTTTTGTTTAAATAATTCTAAGGCCAGAGGCTGGGGGGCAGGGGGCAGCCAGGGTATGTACATGAGGAGGTGTTTAAATTAAAACACAAATAATAATTAAGACACACAAACTTAAAGACTAAGGCAGAAGATGTAGAGAGGGCCTTTGAGGTCCTCGCGCTTCCAGGACTGCAGGCCTCCTGTGGGCTGATTAGGGCTTCCTCTTGGAGAAGATCAGCCGGCGTTTGGAGTGGTAGAAATCTGAGGAGAGAGAGTAGAAGTCAGCCAGGCCACGAGGAAGAGGACGCGGCAGAGCTGCCCACCCAAGGCAGACAGCAGGAGGCCAGGACACCCTTCCCTGCGGCCGACAGGGCTGACTGCTGAGGATAGGAAGAACTCGGGGAACGCCCACTCTGTCTCTTAAGGGGTATTTACGGAGTGTCCCACCATGCTTCACGGATGTGATTTTGTCAGTCACCATACCTGCACCCATGGGTCTGCTCTAAGCCAAGCTGCCTAGTAGAGGAGCCACTACTAGCTCTGTGTGCTTGTTTAAACAGACTAAAATCAAATCAAATGAACAATTCAGTTCCTCAGTCACATGAGCTGTGTGTCAAATGCACAACAGCCGTATGTGGCTCGTGGCCCCTGCACCGGACGGACACTCCCATCCCTGCAGAGTTCTACTGGACAGTGGTGATCTAGGGATTCTGTTACGAAATCCATGAAAGTGTTCAGCACAATGCCGGGCCCATAGAAACGTTAGTAGTTGTTATTATAATCAGTCCTGACCCAACTGCAAATTCCCTTTGAGACCTTAGACAAATCACTCTACCTCTCTGAGCCTGGTTTTCTTGCCCTAAAAGGATGGCAAGGGGCCGGGCACGGTGGCTCATGCCTGTAATCACAACACTTTGGGAGGCTGAGGCAGGAGGATTGCTTGGGCTCAGGAGTTCAAGACCAGCCCAGGCAACATGGTGAGACCTTGTCTCTACCCCAACTCAAAAAATTAGTGTTGTGCATAGTGGTGTGCATTAGCGGGCATAGTGGTGTGCGCCTGTAGTCCCAGCTTCCCAGCTACCCAGGAGGCTGAGGCAGGAAGATCGCTTGAGCCCAGGAGTTTGAAGTTGCAGTAAGCCATGATCACAACACTGCACTCCAGTCTGGCCAACAGAGCTAAGACACCTGTCTCAAAAAGAACGGCGGGGAGGGTGACAAGAATGTCTTATGGTATAACATTGCTACAAGGACTAAATAAATCTACCTTAGAAGCTTGGCAAAGGGCCTGGCATAATGAACATTCCCAATAAATGTTAGCTAGTTGGTCTTTGCTGCCTACTTGCTGCGTGACCTCAGGGAGGTTGCTTCCCCTCTCTGGGCCTGTTTCCTTCTACCTAAGGAGCACTCTGGACTAGGACCAGACAGGTCAGCCCTTGGACTATGGATTCTGAGAATCCTGGTCCCTTACAACGTCCTTCCCTGCACATGTCCTCACCTGTCATACTGGTCTGCCGCCGTTTTCGACCCTGAGAGTCTCCAGGTCCACCTGGGGACTCTTCAGGCTGCTCCCCTGAGCGAGGCACAAGGGTACAAGATAGCGACAGGTCCACATGGTCTTCCTCTGCCATGCCCTGCGGCAGAGCAGGCGAGGTGCCAGGCCGCCTGCCTCCTCCCAACTCATCCCGGCCCCGCCGGGGCCCTGTGGGAAGGTAGAGCTTGGGCAGGCCAAGGCCCCGCACACGCTCCCAGGCGAAGTCACCCTCCAGTGGTGTCTCGGTGACAAAGTCGAAGTTCCATCGCTCACGGGCCTCCTGGATACAGCCCGCCATTAGCGCATCACAGTCGCGGCTCAGCTGCTCGCTGTCCACTGGGCCGAAGAGGCGGCAGCAGGCCTTGCTGCCGCATGGGTTTGGACGGACACTGCCCGCCTGTTCTGACATGGCGCCTGCAGCAGAGACACAAGGAAGGCCCTGGTCACCGTGGAGACTGGACACTATGTTACCTGGCCGGGCTTTGCTGTGTCACCTCAGGTGACGTCTTCCTACCAGAGGGTCTCTCTCGCTCCTTCCAGCTGGTCTTCCTGCATCCTTCCCACAGGAGGCCTGACCCCCACCAGCAGAGCGCAGCCAGCCTGGCACCCCAAGGTCACTGGCAGAGCAGGCAACTGAAGGGCAAGCTAATGTCAACAAAGGCAAATTTACTGCAAGAGCAAGGACCAGGGTCCTGTTTGCCACCAGGTATTTTCAGCTAAAATCAATTTGTTTTCCCCCCAGAGGTGTCCCTCATGGGTGTGAATGCCCCTCAAATACATGTGAATTGCCAGAGTCCAGCAGTTTCCTAATCCTAGCCGTGGCCAGGCGGTCAATTCTCAGAAGAAGAAACAGTGGGACAGTTCCTCCAGCCTCCTGAATCCCCCTACCCAGATCCCCAAGTAGGGTAACCCTGCTCGACCAAGTAAAATTACCCTGGACTTTGGGGCAAAAAACACCCGGGTTGTGGTCCTAGCTCTGCCAGTTACTACGTAAGCTTTAAAAAACCACTTAATATCTCTAGGTCTCAGTTTCCTCACCCTTAAATGGGCCACGTGCAAGTTTAAAGAGCATGGCTACAGACACATACTCAAGCAATTGATCAGGGAGGCCATGCGCAAGGCAGACAGAACAGAGCTGAGTGAAAGGCTGTGTCTTGGTGGTTAAGCAGGAGAGCTCTGGACTCAGATCATCTGGGTTGGAGTCCAGGTTTTACTAGGTGACCCTGGGCAAGCAACTTAACTTGTCTGAGCTCTATTTTCCTTGTCTATAAAATGGGGATATTACTGTCTCAGAGGATAGACATGAGAATTAACTGAGTTAATGTAGGTAACGTGCCAGCAGCACTTCGTATACAGAAGTGCATGGAAAACAGAAGTATGATTATTCCTCTCTGCCTTCAGTTTTATTGAGCCTCCTCCCTATCACTTCCCCCTGCCAACTACCTCCTTCAGACAGCAGCTGACAGGTGCTGTAGGCTGAGGGCCTTTCCCAAGGATGTCGTCAGGCAGGTGGCCTAGGGGTAAGGAGGGGCCGGGCGGGGCAGCGCAAGGGATGATTTCTCCCAGGCTGAGCCACATCCTGCCAGGCACATCAGGTGATCTGAAGTCTAGACACCTGGCAGCCTCTGCCCCGTGTTGCCTGTGTCCAAGGAACCCGTTTTGCAGGCAAAGAAAATTAAAGGTGGCTGGTCTACCTGGCTCCTCTCCTCCCACTTCAGGAGAGGGAAAACGGAGGGTGAGTTTGCCCATGAGGGAGCCCTGGCACCTACCTGCCTGCTCTGGCTTGACTCCAGGGCTGAGTGACTGCACGACCTTGGCAGCAACTGGGTTTTCCTAGGGACAAGTCCCAACTTGCAGGCTCTGGGGGGGAAAGCTCTGCTGAGTCCTCCTGAGGCAGGAAGCCCGGGACACATGCCACATCTGCTCCACCCCACCTCACCCCACTGCTTGTGATCAGTGCAGCCCACAGTTTCACGTCCCAGCTGGTTGGAAGAGGAGGCTCTTGGTAACTTCACACCAAGTTTAAACGGCAGGAGATGGAAGAGATATGAGACTTGCCCCTAAGTCATACAGCTAAAAAGGCCAAAGGCCACTGTCCCATAAAGGGGTCACCCAGTACAGTGGACAGAGCCCTCAAATAACCTCTGTCCACCCTCCGCTAGGCATGAGTTGGGATTTATTTATATATTTTTATGTTTGGGGGCTGTTCTAAGCAGTTTAAAAATATCAGTCCTCCTAAAAAGTGGATATCTATTAGCTCCCTTTATACAGAAGAGGCAATCAAGTCTCAGAGAAGTTAAGTGACTTGCCCAACATCACACAGTTCACAAGTGGCACAGCCAGGATCTGAACCCAGGCCTGTTTGCCCTGAGTCCTGTGCTCTAGTGTTGAACCCCACTCCCTCTCTAATTTTGAGGTTTCTTAACCAGAGAGGCCCATCAGAATCACTTGGGGAGGCCAGGGGCAGTGGCTCATGCCTGTAATCCTAACACTCTGGGAGGCAGAGATGGGAGAATCATTTGAGCCCAAGGGTCCAAGATTAGCCTGGGCAACACAGTGAGACCCTGTCTCTACTAAAAATAAAAGTAAATAAAAATTAGCTCGGTGGCTGGGTGCAGTGGCTCACATCTGTAATCCCAGCACTCTAGGAGGCCAAGGCAAGCAGATCATCTGAGGTCAGGGGTTCAAGACCAGCCTACCCAAGATGGCAAAACCCCATCTCTACTAAAATTACAAAAATTAGCCAGGCGTGGTGGTGCACACTTGTAGCCCCAGCTACTTGGGAGGCTGAGGCAGGAGAATTGCTTGAACCCAGCAGGTGGAGGTTGCAGTGAGCTAAGATCATGCCACTATACTCCAGCCTGGGCAAAAGAGTGAGACTCCGTCTCAAAAAAAAAAAAAAAAAAAAAAAAAATGCTGGGCATGGAGGGTCACACCTGTGGTCCCAGTTACTTGGGAGGATGAAACAGGAGGACTGCTTGAGTCCAGGATGGTGCCATTGCACTCCAGCCTGGGTGACAGAGTGAGACTCTGTAAAAAAGAAAGAAAGAGAGAAAGAGAGAAAGAAAGAAAGAAAGAAAGAAAAGAAAGAAAAGAAAGAAAAGAAAGAAGCACCTAGGGAGCTTTTTCAAAATACAGATTTTGAAAAATCCCTGCCTCTTGAGACCAACTTAATCCAAATTGAAGTTTCAAGCAAGTGTTTGGCACCGTTCCTCAGATGGGCACTCTTGGGGTGCCAGCCAAAGGGGGACACACTGGTGTGTTTGAAATGGACATTCTTGGTCTCAATACATCATAGGCACAAGGAGGAGGAGCCCGCCTAGGGCTTCATCAAGGAGCTGGATATTCCCTGGCTCCCGGGAGCTCAAGACAGGACTAGGATCTAGGCAGGTACCCTCTCCTCTTCTACCACCCATCCTTCTCTTATGGCTCTTATAGGCCTCTTCTCCCCCATCAAAATCTGCTCTCATGCTCATTGTCATAATAACTTTCAGTCCAAAGAAAACAGAAACGTAAACCCGTGTTTTACAAACAACTGAAAATAGCCTCCTTTATTGGCTTTGCTGCCTTAGACTTCAGCCATATTTTAATTTCCAGTAAGAGCTCAGTAAATACTGTTGAATCTAAGGAGTGCTCCTTTGAAGGGGTGGTAATGGCATAGGGGTTATTCTCGGAGTAGCCGCGGCGGTTCGCGCCGGCCAGCCCCACTCCGCGGGAAAGCCGGTGTGCTGTTCCCGCCAGGGCCGGGAGGGGGCGCCGGCCTCCAGGAAATCACGCGCGGGGTGGGAGGTGCGTGGGCAGAGCCTTGGACTGCGGGAGGGAGTAGTGATGAGTCAGTTTCCTGCAAGGCGCTGCTCGCCCGCCAAAACTCTGCTTCCACTCCGGCTGCGCGTCACCCTGGGGTGGGGAGGGGGAGCATGGGAGGGGACAGCGGGGGGGCGCCGCGAACACGTCACGCTGAGCCGGCCAGGCTTCCGAAACTCCCGCCGCTGTTGGGAAACCGCGCGCTCTTGTGCCGTCTCTGACACACACACACACACGCACACACGCGCGCGCGCACACACACACACGCGCGCCGGGAGCCTTATCTCCACGCCCAAAGCATGGGATGAGTCAGATCCCTGGAAAATAAAAATAGACGGGAGCAACGAAAACAAAACCGCTCGCAAGTCCTCCCAGAAACGCGACGTGGAGGGAGGGAAGGAGAGGGGAAGCTGCCTGGGCGCCCCAAGTTCCAAACCCAGCTCCAAGATGCTTTTCCGCACGAAGAGGGAGCAAGTGTCCCCCAGGGGTTCTGGACGGAGAGGATGCGCTGTGATCCGCGCCAGGCGGCGGCGCCCCAGGGGGCGACTCACCCCCCTGCTCCGCTCAGCCCTGTCGCTTTCCGAGAGGGAATCTGGGCTAGGTCGGGACGCCACCGAGGCAGCTGATGGAGGCCCTGAGCAGCGTCGTGCCCCCCAGAATCCCCACCCCGCAAAGACCTGACCCCTTACCACCTCCCACCCAGGCGTGGGCTCTGCTCTCGCCCCGGAGTCCAGCGCCCCGACCCGAGGGCAGGCTGGGCCGTGATTCTCCCGGCCGCGGTGGGAAAGAGTTAGAGGAGACCCTTGCCCTTCCCCGACTGACAGGCTGGTTGGAGCCCGCCCAGCGCAGAGTCGTGACTCCCCGACCCCTAGGGCGCGCCGCGAAGCGGGGACCCGACGCGGTGTCCTGGACCTCCGGTGCCCTGCTTCCCTGGGAACAAGCTGTTCCAGCCAAATAGGTCACTGTGCCGATGGAAGGACGGAGACCGCGGCAGGGCAGGGGAGAGGGCTTCGGGAGTCCCACTGTACCCCTTCCCGGGCAGGGTTCTGACCTCATACAGTCTGTTCCCTGGGGTCTCCTTGTCACAATGAGTCACCTCCTCGCTTGTCCTTAGGGGACGTGTCCTGGCACATTCCCAAGGGCCGGGAAACAGCCCGCGCTGACCTCAGTGCCCAGCCAGGTGGTGGACACAGTGGCGTAGAGGACCTGAACCTGGGACCTGGGCCAGGGCGGCGACAGTTGGATCCGAGAGCCGCCTAGGACCGATCCTAGACGAATTTACTCCACTCCGCTTTCCTCGCCCCTCCTGGGCCCCTCCAGGGACACGGACTTCATCCCCAGGCCGCGAGCAAACTGCGCCTGGGGCCTGCAGCCAACCGCAGCCAAAGGCGAGCTCTCAGAGCAGTCCGGTCCACGCCCTCCCTCGCCCCAGCTGGGTTTCCAGGGGCGGGGAGCGTGACCGGGGATCCCTGTACTGGTAATCCCGCTCTCTGCCCGGGGTCTCCGGCACATCCCGACCCCTGTCACCCGCGCACTTACAGATACCGTGTGCACAAGCCGAGCGCGCACCGACCCACGCCCGTCATTCACCTGCCACAGAAACACCTGTGAACGAAGCGCACACCCGCGAACACGCATCCTCGTGGACACGCACGGACACACGCGGGCACGCTCGGCTCGGCTCTGGGCCGCCAGCCCGGGGTCCCCTGTTGTCTGCCGCCACCCTCTCACCTCCTCTGAGTGCCTCGGTGCCTCGGCGAATCCGCACCCAGCTCTGGCCCCACAAGGAACTGACTTCGGCAGCTGCTCACACCTCAGCTGGCGCAGCTCAGCGCGGCCCTGATATACCACCGCCCCGCCCGGGCCCGCCTCAAGGAGGCGGGACCCGCGCTCGGCCCACCGCGCCGCCCGGGACCGCCCTCCCCGGGGCCCAGGCTCCTGGTTGCCCAGCGCCGAGCCAGCTGAGCCTGGCCGAGTTCCAGCAGGCCAGCCGTCCGGAACCTCGCGTGCTGCAGGAGGGCATTTCCCTCCTCCCCCAGTCCCTCGCCTGCGTTGGTGCGCTGGACATATTTCCCCACGAAGTGAGCCACAAATCTGGCTTTTTTTACTTGGAGAATGAGTTGGCACTCCCCAGGAGGACACAGCACTGTTAGAATGAGCCCCCTTTCTGGCCCACCGTTGACCCACTCTGGGGGTCGGGGAGTCCGACCTGGCAGGCAAGGATTTACCCAATGCAGCTGAAAAGATCAGGAGGATGACATTAATAAATAAAAATTCATAAATAATAAAAACGATGCACCTCTCTGCAATTTCCAGAAAAGTTCTATAATATCACCTCTATTCCCATTGATCCCTCACTAGGTCACCTCTCCCAGAAGCATCTGGAGCACCTAGACACCCCAACAAAGCATCTTGAGGCCGGAATGCTTTTCCAGTCCCGTTTATTTCACAGATGAGGAAATTGAGGTCCACTGAACTTAAGTATACAAAGTTGTTGATTGTCACATGCTTCCAGGAAGGAGGGAATTGGAGACACTACCAGAAAAGGGCAACCTGATCTCCAGGGAAACCGAAGAAGTGGACATTGAACCAATCTCTGTACACCCTACACTCACCTCAACAGACGAAGCCCCTGTGGTTGCAGCAGCTTTGTTGGCCGGGAAGGGGAGGATTTGACGAGTGAGTTGTCTGTCTCCTGAATACTCCCCACATAGCCCCTGTATGCTTCTGGGGAAACTGGGGCTCAGAGAAGTCTAGTGACCTAACTCAGATCATGCAGCAAAGAAATGACTATAGTTGGAACACAGGCCTTTTGCCTCCTGCCCAGGACTCTCTGCTTGTCATCCTTTATTTCTGTGGCTCCAGAATGACAAAAATGCCAAATAACCCTCATTTGCAGATGGTTTATGGAGATGACATAAATAAAGGACAACTCTGGAAGTGTCTACTGGTGCTTCTGACAGACACAGAGATGAATGACAAGTCTATCTGCTCCCATCTACCGCACACCCCTGCCCTCCCTTGGACTTCACCTTTGCCTCCTTTCTGAGCCTGAAACATTTGCAGTTTTGCTTTTAAAAAATTGCAGAGGGTGGATTGTTCATCTGAACAGAAATCCTACTAAAAAACAGAACCCAGGCTTGGAGCAGCTACAATTACTTACATCTCAGGCTGCTCAGAGTCTGGAAATCTCTGCCCAGACATGCCCAGTCTTCTTCCTTTAACGCAGCTGACCTCGGGGAGGACAGGCTTCTTTCTCCTCTGCTGTGGGAATGGGAGCCCGTAGGGGTGGGAGGACACAGCAGCAGACCCCCTCGGCCTGCCTGGTCCTAGAGTCAGGCCAGGATTGTGGCTAAACCCCAGAAAGGCCACAGCACGGCCTCAGGACCCCACTCTAAGCCCCACTGCTGTCTGCACCTTCCCTCCTATACATCCAAACCATCCAAAGGGTGGGTTGTCAAATGTCCAGCAGAGGATAGGCATCTCCTCCCACTGCCTTGAAGCCCCTCTGCTTTCAGGCATTTCAAATAGACTAGACATTGTCTGTTTACTTTGGGGGGAAAAATTTTTTTTAATAAAGGCTTGTAATGAATTATTTACAGTTTTGTGGTACTGAGCTTCACAATGAAATAATTCTTTTTGTTGTTGTTTTTGGGAAATAATTTTTTTTTATAATTTCTAGCTCACCACCACCACCACATTCAATATTTCTTAAGTACCTACTAAGTGTCTAGTACTATTCAGTGCTTTAAAAAAAAAAGTTTGCAACCATGCACTTGAATGTGTACACAGACACACTCTAAGGGAGGACCTCTGCCCTGAGGAAGGCAAGGGAGCAGGTTGTTAGAAGTCACACACAAAATCTGACTCCCAGCACACATTCACACAAGCACACATGCACCAGATCCCAGCCCTGTCCCAAGGATCTGCCGGCAGATCACATACCCTATTGAGAGTAACAGGCCAAGGTCTACCTGGGGTCTCTAGAGGTCTCCTGTCTCCTACCATCCCCTTCCTCACCTGAAAACAGGCAGTCCAAGGACAAAATAGCCACCAGCCTCTTCTATGCCAGAGCTCAACATGTTGGGACATGTTCCTGACGGTCAGAAAGCCAATCAGAGCCACAGCCTGCTGCCCAAGCATGTTCCCAGGAAGCCGGCAGCATAGGGATGGAGGGAGGCTCAGCATGGGGGACAAGAGCACCCAGACCAGCCCCCTCCCCAGACTGCGGTGGAGCAGCGTGGGGTAGGGGAATGGTGAAAGGTGGAAAGCCCAAACCTGAAGAAGGAGGATGTGAGGAAGGCTCAGTGGTGGCTGCAGGAGCTGCCTAGGAAGGGAGAGGAAGTGCTGGGAACAATGTCACCATTTCTCAGAAAGAGACTGGGGAGTCCCAAATAGGGACAGTCAGCTTTCAGAGGAATTCACCTCCACACAGGCTCCCAAGAAGTGAGACCCCAGAGAAGAGGCGGAACAAAGATAGAACGTTATTGAGCAGAAGCAGCCTTGGCTTTTTGTTTTCATTTTATTTTTCTGTTTTGTTTTGTTTTTTGAGACCAAGTCAGCAGTGGTGCAATCTCAGCTCATTGCAGTCTCTGCCTCCCGGGTTCAAGCAATTCTTCTGCCTCAGCCTCCCAAGTAGCTGGGATTACAGTCATGCGCCACCGTGCCCAGCTAATGCTTGTATTTTTTTTTAATTTTTTTTTGCACAAAATGTTGGATTTGTTGTTTCTGACAAGTGCATAGTAATTTTCAGTTTGCTCATGTTCCTAGCATCACAAATCTGAAGTACAATTTTGCTTCTCAATTAAAAACATACTGGCTGGGCTTGGTGGCTCACACCTGTAATCCCAGTACTTTGGGAGGTCGAGGCGGGTGGATCACAAGATCAGGAGTTTGAGACCAGCCTGGCCAACACGGTGAAACCCCGTCTCTGCTAAAAATGCAAAAATCAGCTGGGCATGGTGGTGGGCGTCTGTAGTCCCAGCTATGCAGGAGGCTGAGAGGGGAGAATCACTTGAACCTAGGAGGCAGAGGTTTCAGTGAGCCGAGATGGCGCCACTGCACTCCAGCCTGGGCGACAGAGCGAGACTCCATCTCAAAA